AACATTTCTCTAGAGGATATAGGACTTAGATGCTGATTTTATCTAGTTAGTATTGGTTTTTGTGATTGATTAGGGATGACTGATTATGGAACATGTGTATGGATGTTGACTAGTGTTGTTATGACATTTTGCTATGTTTTCCATTGTATGAATGTTTTATTCAAATATTGAAGCAGTCAGGGTTGAAATAGAGTTGCGGTTTTTATTAGGGGTGTCCAAAAGTCCCGAACCGAACCGGACCGAACCGAACCCGAACCGAACCGAGCGGTTCTTCATAAATTAAATACCCGAACGGGTACCCGAATCGAGAACCGATGGGTTTGGGTCGGGTCTCGGGTCTAGACCAAGAATCGAAGAACCGAATAAGAACCGAAACTAAATAATTTTTTTATTTTTTATATGGAATTAATTAAATTATTTTATTTTTTTAATACAAATTAGTAAATTAATTAAATAAATCAGATTATTTCATAATTTTAATTTTAAAGTCCAAATCATTTTTAAAACCCATTAACCTATTTTAATTTGAAGCAAATTAATATACTTTATGTAATTTTGCTGTAATATTAATATCTACTTTGTGGTATTTGTATACACTGAATTAATCTTATTGGACAGCTAGTTATTTATATGTTTTTGAATTGTGCTATGTTAATTTGTAAAAGTTACGAATGAAATGTCATTAGTTGTATTTATGTAGTGTTGCTGTAAATATTAAAAAATTTGATCATAGTACGGAACCGAACGGAACCGAACCGACCCGAACCGAACCGAACGGAACCGAACCCGAACGGTTCCATAATTATATTTGGACCCGACGGGTCCATTTATTAAATACCCGAAAGTTTTGGGTCGGTTCGGGTATCTTCAGAACCGAACCGAACCGACTCACGGACAGCCCTAGTTTTTATGACAGCTTGTACATTTATGCGATGGAAAAACAGATTATATTATTAACTTCGCAAATTCACCCAATATAAAAAAACTGCAGTTATATATTTAAAATGACAACATATCATTTCGGGTCACGAGGTCTCGATTTCACTACGAAACAAGTATTGGAATATCGTAGACTTGTCCGGGCTGAATGAGAAAAAATTATGCGAACTAAACACTGAATTAAAAAAAAATGATAGTCGTACGTTTAAACCGTTCATGTGTCATTTCAGTGGGAGACGTACTATGTTTTGTATACCCTAAATGACGTTATACTTGTAAAATGATATTATGTCATTTTCGGTAACAGGGTCTTGATTTCACTTGTACATATTGAATGATCACACGTGCTATGTTTTTGTATACTCTACCACCTAAATGGCACCCTTGCGTATGAAATGACAACATACCATTTTGGATCAAGGAGTTCCAAATTCACTCCAAAATTAGTAAAATAGTGTTTCGAACGTCATAAAGACTTGTACATGTTGAACAATATGTTGAAATATAGTTAAAATTTTCATCCCTAAATTTTCATGTGGTTATGGGCGTGAATGAACTGAAACGGACATTAAATGAGTAGAAACGTCAACCATACGTTTAAAACGATCATGTCGTTTTAGGTCACGGGGTCTCGATTTCACCCAAAAACTAGTCGATCATAGTTTGAAACATTTTAGTAGACTTGTACATATTGAATTAACTAATTTATTGAGTATCTTATGCGGATACGAGGGAACATAAAGTGAAACAAATACAAAATTTGTCAAAACGGTACTTAGTCGTTTAAAAAGGCAAGTTGAATAATTACATGTTTTTCTCTTTTGCCCTACACCCTAAAATCTAAACCCTATACCCTAAACAGCAACCCTCCATTTATAATTATCAGATGCCGTTTGGAGTCATGGGTATCGATTTCACTCCAAAACTAGTAAAATTGTGTTTGAAACATCATACATGACTCGTACACATTGAACGATTACACGTGCTGTGTATTGGATACCATACTTGCTACTTATGTTTTTCTTTATTATCAAATGTAGTGTAGTTCACTACCGGATTATGGAGTGACTTACTATAGTTTGAACAAATGTGTCAACTGTAATTTCGAAACGTAGTTAAAACTTTCACATGGTTACGGGCGTGAATGAACTGAAACAAATACTAAATGAGTAAAAATGTCATCTATACATTTAAAGCAACCAGATACCATTTTGGGTCACGTGGTATCGATCTCACTCTGAAACTAGTAAAATTGAAACATCATATATGACTAGTACACATTGAACGACTACACGTATTATGTTTTGGATACCATACTTGCTACTTATGTTTTCTTTATTATCAAGTGCAGTGTAGTTTCATAGTGTTGGTGATCAGGTGAACTTTATATCTAACTTGTTGTTCAAATATGGCAAAAACTTGATTTCATTTAACTTTTATATAAATATAAGTGAATATAAAGTGAAATGAACACAAAACTAGTTGAAATCGCAACTAGCCATTTAAAATGTCAGCATGTCATTTTGGGTCACAGTGTCTCGATTTCACTTTAAAACTATTCTATCATAATTTTGAACATCTTAAAAGACTTATATAAGTTAAACTAAGCCCTAAAACTTAAACCCTAAACAGCAACCCTCCGTTTTTCTCTATTGTCAAGTGAAGTGTATTGTAGTTTACAATCGAATTATAGAGCAACTCGCTATAGTTTGGACAAATGTGTCGACCGTAACGTCGAAATGTAGTTAAAACTTTCATCCATAAACTTTCAAATGGTTACGGACGTGAATAAACCGAAACAAGCACGAAATTAATAGAAACGTCACCGATACGTTTAAATGACCAAATGCCGTTTTGGGTCACTAGGTATCGATTTCACTCTGAAACTAGTAAAATTGTGTTTGAAACATCATACATGTCTTGTACACATTGAACTACTACATGTGCTATGTTTTAACTATCTAACTTGCCACTTACGTTTTTCTCTATTGTCAAGTGAAGTGTAGAGTAGTGTAGTTTCCAACCGAATTATAGAGTGACTCGCTATAGTTTGAACTTTGTGTGGACTGTGATGTTGAAATCTAGTTAAAACTTTCATTCTTACACTTTCATGTGGATACAAGCGAGAATAAAGTGAATCGAGCACAAAATTAGCAAAAATGATATACATACATTTAAAATGACTGCATGCCGTTTTTGGTCAAAGGTTTTCGATTTTTTCTTCGAAATAGTAAAAAAAATATTTCAAACATCATAGATAAGTTGTACAAATTGAACGATTGCATGTGTTATATTTTTTATACCATACTTGTTACATTTTTCTTGGTGGTCATATGTAGTATAATTTCCAATCGGACGTATGATGTGACTTACTATAGTTTGAACTAGTTAAAACTTTTGTTCTTACACTTTCATGTGAAAACGAGCGAGAATGAAGTGAAACAAACACGAAATTAGCAAAAATGATAGACATACGTTTAAAATGAATACATGTCATTTTGGGTCACGAGCTCTCAATTTTTCTTCGAAACTAGTAAAAATAATGTTTGGAACATCATGGATAAGTTGTACATATTGAACGATTGCACATGCTATATTTTGTATACATTTTCCTTGGTTGTTAAGTGTAGTATAATCTCCAATCGGACGTATGATGTGACTCACTATATTTGAACTTTTTGTGGACTGTGGCGTCTAAATCTAGTTAAAACTTTCATTCTTACACTTTCATGTGAAAACGAGCGAGAATGGAGCGAAACGAACACGAAATTAGCAAAAATGATATACGTACATTTAAAATGACTACATGCCGTTTTTGGTCACGAATTCTCGATGTTTCATCGAAATTAGTAAAAACAATGTATAAGTTATATATATTGAACGATTGCATATGCTATGTTTTCTATACCATACTTGTTTTATTTGCTTTATTTCGTAGTTAAGTCTAATACAACTTACTCACGGAATAATGGTGTTGGTAATTATCGAGTGAACTTTATGCCGATAAATAAGTCCAAACATAATGAAAACTTCCATTCGTTCATTTTCATGTGCATACACGTGAAAATAAAGTAAAGCGGATATGAAATTAGTTGAAACGACACCCAATCATTTAAAACGGCATCATGTCATTTTAGATTATAGGGTCTCAATTTCACTCCAAAATGTGTCGATCATATATTAGAACATCATGTAATATTTATACAAGTTAAACAATCTAATTTATTGATTATCTTATCTCATAATTGGAATTTAAATTATTTACTTTTTTAACGACGTCATGTTATTCTACATGGCGGGGCCTTGATTTCACTACAAAACGAGTTGACTAGACTTGAAAAACTTCCGCTCTTTCATTTTAATGTACATACGAGTGAATAAAGTGAAATTGATATGAAATTAGTTGAAACGACGCATAATCATTTAAAACGGTAGCATGTCATTTTAGATTATAAGGTCTCAATTTCACTATAAATGTAGTAAAAATTTATCTATGTTAGTTAAAATGTCATCAAACCGTTTATAAATACAGCATGCCGTTTTGGATCAGGGACTCTCAATTTCACTCAAAATATTGTTAAAACTTGTTTTCATTAATTTTTATGTGGATATAAGGAAACATAAACTGATATGAACATAAAAGTAATTAGAAGGGCATTCAATCGTTTAAAACGGCAATATGCCATTTTACTGTTGGTTTTAAATTGTGTATGAAAAGTAGAATGAAAGTGGGGATTTATGTTTGGGGGATTTGGTAAATTTTTGTTTCAAATTGGATATTTTAGATATTTCAAATGAAGGGTGTTTAAGACTTTTAACACATTATGAAATAAAGTAAAGGCTAGTTAACCAAAAAGTATTGAGATAGTCTAGTTTACCAAATATCATTGTTGACTAGGCTTTTTAACCAAATCCCCCTATATTTATTTATACCTAACCGATGGTTGCTGTTTATTGGATACAGCAAACATGGAAACTCAAGCTAGCACCACCATGAGGAAAGCCCTTCTGGCCTCAACTGCATAATACTAGCCACGGGCAACTGCAGTGGTCCTTTAGTAATGCGTCTCTACTTCATCAGGGGAGGCAAAAGAATCTGGTTTTCAAGCTGGCTCGAAACCTGTGGCTGGCCAATCATTTTCATCCCTCTCACAATAGCATACATGCACCGCCGCAAAACTGGCGGTGCCACCACCAAAACCCAGTTCTTCTTAATGAAACCTCGAATACTTATCGCCTCAGCAGCCATCGAAGTTTTGACCGGACTCGATGACTACATCTATGCCTACGGTGTTGCGAAACTACCAGTTTCGACCTCTGCTCTTATTATTGCTACCCAGCTTGCATTCACTGCAGGATTTGCGTTTCTTCTTGTTAAATAGAAATTTATAGGGTATTCGATAAACGCTATCGTTTTGTTGACTGTTGGGGCTGTAATTTTGGGTCTTCATACAAGCAGTGATAGACCAGAGGGTGAATCGAATAAGGAGTATCTTTTAGGGTTCTTCTTGACACTTGCTGCAGCAGCATTGTATGGACTCATTTTGCCTCTGGTGGAGTTGATGTATTTGAAGGCTAAACAGGGTATTAATTGTACATTAGTATTGGAGATACAAATGGTTATGTGTTTCTTTGTTATTGTCTTTTTGTTGAAGTTGTGACATTTTGTTGTCACA